GGTGAGATATTTAATAAGAGTTATATATATATATATATATATATATATATATATATATATATATATATAGAGGATAGATATATATATATGGATAGATATATACATATACATTTATTTACTTATTTATTGACTGTCTACAGGAGAATTCAACCTATTATTTTATTTTTTTGTACAAATTGTCTCTCTTTCATCATTAAAAATTATAATGATTCACACATTATCATCATTTATTAGTATTATTATGCTTTGTTTGTCTCTCAAAGGAAACATCTTTTGTACATACAAATTCTTCAGAGAAATTAGGGGCAAATCAACAACATCGCCAAAATAAACATTAAGGCATGCTTGTTTTGACAAAAAATAAAAACTTAGATAATTTAAATTCATTTTACTTCAAATGCAACCATCATTTTCATTTGCATTATATTTTCATTTCATCTGTTTCAATTTCTTCAAATCAAACAGAGCCTAAATGCAATTAGCGGATTCATGACTTTATATTTGAGAGATTTAATCCATACTATCATTTGCCTTCAGCCCAATTCTTAACGACTATTTAAAGCTTCTTCGAAAATCTTAATATTGTTCATATAAGAATTCAGACCGCCCGCGGCTCTTGTGATCTCTCTTATGTGATCTCTCTTATGTTCCTTATATCCATGCTAATTGGACTACTAGAGAAAGGACCAACTAAAGCTGTGCTTGGGGCAGCTTAAATGGAGCAGCACGGCGGCAAAAAATCGTGTTTGATGTTTGTTTCGTGTGGTGGAACCAACTTATTTGAAAATTTTCATTAAAACGCGGGCGGGCACGAGCTTGACTCCACGGACCATGTTTTATCATAAATCTATTACTTGGGTTGGCCCTCGCATTCGTGTCTCTGCCCTAGCGATTCATTCTCTCTTCCACGCTCCCCTTTCTCCTCTCTCACGTCTCTGCCCTAGTGATTCCTCCCCTCGTTGTGAGAGAACTACCGAGAATCGCTAGTTCCCCTTTTCTCTGTTGTTCTCAGGTATTTTCTTACCTCACTTTGCCCTTGTTTCATTTCTCCTTTACGGTTTGTGGTTACCGTTTGTGGCTTGATCTTCGAGGTTTGTTGCTTTGCTCAATGGAGAAATGGTTCTATGAATTCTACATTGCAATCATGTTTTCTGAGAAATTTGTGGTTTGTGGTCGTCTTGTGTAACTTGGCTTTTTGCGGTTTAAGGTTTTGCTCTATGGAGAAATTGAGAATCTAGGGAGAGGAAAACACCATATTGCATATCAATTTTATTGTGAAATTTGGAAATTATTAGGTATTTACGGTTTTGGCTCTTTTGGTCCCTTGTAGTTTCTAGCTTGCCGTTTGCAGTTTTTGGCGCTCTGAAGAAAATTGATATAGGGAGGGGAAATCACCATATTGCATATCCTTTTTCTATGAAAGTTGGAATTTTGTAGGTCTATGTGGTTTTAGCTCTTTGCTCTTTGCGGTTTCTAGTTCATATATGAAGTGCATTTCTTTTTAGGCCTTGTGATTTTTTGTTCATCTTGGGTTGTTAACCAAATAGTTAGACGAGGGATCGTGGCATGCAGGTATCTGTGGAATTCATATAACAAGTGCATTTCTTTTTTTCTATGACATATGAAGGTTTTATGTAGAAGTGGTTACTATTGGTGGTTTGCGGCCACTGTGTTTAATGGGTTGATATTGTTGCTTTGCCATTGAGTATGATGAGTTGATATTGTTGCTTTGCAGCCACTGTGTATGATGGGTTGCTATTGTTGGTTTAAGGTCTCTGTGTGGCGAATGAATTATATTAGTTTGTTGCTAAATTTTTTTTATTGGGTAGTGGTTGGTTGTAATGATTGTGATTGCGATGATGTGGTGGTGGTTGTGTTGGTGTTGATGATAAATTTGTGGTGGTTGTGGTGGTGGTATTTGTGTGCTCGTAATGGTGGTGGTGTTGATGTTGATGTGTTGGTGGTAGTGGCGGTGTGGTGGCATGGTGGTACCGGTTGTATGGTTGCGGTCGTGTGTTTGTGATATGTGTAGTAGTGGTGGTTTTTGTTGATGATGTGTTGGTGGTGTGTGTGGGGGGTAGTAGTGGTGTGGTGGTGGTGTGTGGGGGTAGTAGTGGTAATAGTGATGTTATGGTGGTTTTATTGGTATTGTTAAAATTAATAATCTGCATTTTATATTCAATATTATGATAATATTAATTATTATTCTAGTAATTTTATTTTTAATTTTGATTGTTCTTTACTCACTGTTTAGTGAGAAGTTAGTTTTATTATGTAATTTTCAAACTGAATATATGTTTGCATAAAAGAAATGTACAACTACAACTGACTGTTATAAACAACACAATAGTACATGGGTAGAAATATCTTTTTTATCATAAATAATTGCACCATAGCTGCCGCACAATTGCACAAAACAAACAAACACATAGATTTCCCGCAGTAGCTTCTGCATACTAGCTTCCTGGCACAACTGTTGTGCAACAGTTTTTTAATAAGTTGTGGCTGCCCCAAACAGACCCTTAATCAACTTCAACTACATCCATGACCTTATTACACTAGTCCATCTATTGTCTTCAGATTATATTCTCTCCATGTCGAGGAAAAAATAATCATATATAACACCCAAAACATTGCTATTTACAAATCTAACACATTTCATTCATTTTTAAAAATCTAAAATATGAAAATTCATCATAAAACCCAAACCCAACCCAACCCATATTTTTTATTTTTTATCAAATTCTCAATGGTTTGACCATGACACACTTAAACACATATGTTTGATAGTTAAAAAAAAAATCACATAAATACTAGTTTTATAAATAGCAATGCTTTGAGTGTTGCGTGTAATTATCCAAAAAAAATAATCTGTCAATGTGAAATGGCTGCTTACATAATCATTCTACATTACCAAATTCATCAACTTCAAGTCACAGGACTATCCCCAGTAACCTCTAAGAACTTTTTGCACAACATCTTATGTTGCCTTCAAGTTGCACTACTTTTATCTCCAGAAGAACTAACCTATCATACTCAATGGCCTCCCTGACCTTCCAGCATCATTCCATCCATCATTGCAAAGTCGTGACAACACCATCTCCAAAAAGACAACTATCTCCACCATCCTCAATGGATTCCCCAATCCACAAGCTGAGGCATCGTTAAATAACTTCCTAAATTCGGAGTTCTGAACTGTTTACAACTTCAAATATGGAATTGAAAAGATCAAATACGCACAAATTCTCTAAATCATATAGTAATAAGAATGATGAAAAAGTAGCTGCAAGAAATTATATAATGCATGTCAATATAAATGATCACAAGGAGGCAAAATTGTCAGAACCATTTGGAACATGTTTTTAACAAAAATATCATTTTTCAATATTATAAGTAGCATTCAATGATCAAATACAAAAATCAATCAATATTTGAGTGCCATTTCATCATTTTGTGCAGCATTCCTATCATTTCATCAGAAATGCAGTTTCAGGAGTTCAACAAATATATGACCAACAAACAATCTTTTTTTTTTCACTAATATCATACAAAAAATGCTACCTATTTAACAACCGGTATGCCGGTAAATCTGCAATTTTGAATACTCTTTCCAGCAAAAGCTCTTTCTCTAACTCTGCTAGAGTAGATTTCAGAATCTCCTGGAAAGAGACAACACAGTAATAAAAAATGAGGATCCAATGAATGAAGTACTGTTAACCATATTTAAAAGGAAATATATGTTACATTGAATTCCATATAAGTTGCATGTTTAGAAAGCCAATGAGTGTCCAGAAGCTGAAACGCAACACAATAAAGATGATCAAAAGCCATCTCATCCAACTCCAGTAGTTCAAGAAAATGATTTCCAACTTTAGTTTCTTGGCCATCTGTAGAATGAAGATAACACCGTTAGCTTTCACGGTTTTCCTTTTAATAATAATGATATTCCTAAGATTAATTTAGGGTCCAAATATTACTCAAATTAACAGTAACGTGAATATTGTTATGAAAACGGAATTTTTCAGTTTTAGAATCTACTGTGATGGGCAGCAGTTAAAAACTAGAAAAATGTTTCATTTGGGGTCCCTAAACCTATTCTCTCTTTAAGAAAATATACGCCATCAATTGGAGAGTTAAAAAAGGTTTAGAAGATATAAAAATCAATGATAAATGAGATCTTACAAATGGCTGGAGGTATGATATTTACATATATTACTTTTCGCATTGTATTATCCAATCAGTTATTTATTTAAGAAATATTTCAATTTAATAAAATTTTTCTATCAAATACAGCTTTAGCAACCTACACTGATTACCTGGTTGCAGCCCCAACATCTGAGTAAGCATGAAAGATATATTAATACCAGCTGCAGTAAACGGATACTCAAATTCAGACCTCCTTCCGTCCCGTTTGTGCAAAAGCCTTTGAAAGGAATCCTGAGACAATAGTTATGAAAAACTTAAAAGGAAGATTTACATACATACCCCTGAATTCCTATGAATTTGCATGTCTAAGACCTAAACTTCAATTTATACCTGCATGCCACCTTATCTATGAATGAAAGGTGCATCACTTTTTAAAAGTTAAAATGGTGGTATTTTTGAGAAGATACGAAAGATTTGGGTGGTAAAAATGTAAAAGGTGATGTTTAGGTGTTAGATATGTAAACACATAGAAATTGAGTGGTTTGTATGTAAATGCCCCAACTTGAAAAGAAACTAAATACAGAAATCAAGAGGCAAGAGCAGTAGATCATCAAAGGATGGAGATTTTACTGGATAATGCTTGGCAAAGAAGATGAGATTCTCCAAGGATAAAAATCCACCACTCCTGAAAGAATTTATCAGAATTAACTCCTTCATAGAAGCAGTTACATATTAATGGCATGATTAACTGGGTCATTGATGAAAACCTGAAATCTGTTGAGGGATCTGCACCTTGCCAACCCATCTCTTTCCATTTCTCTGATTTGAGCGGAGGAAGTTCACGTTGTGGGTAAGCCAGTTTCCATAGCTGCTTCAAAGCATCCTAAGATGAATAAGTTGGAAGTGAATTAAAAAATTAGGATCCATGACGTATCAACTCATCACATTATAATAAGATGGAACATCTACATACATACCATTTAAATTCCTATGTACAAATAAGTTGGAAGTGTATTAAAAATTAGGATCCAAGAGGGATCAAATCATCACGTTATAATAAGGAAGATCTACATACATACCACTTAATTCCTATGTTTAATTCCTATGTATTTATATATCTATGACCTAAAATTCAACTTTCAGATACATATCAGCTTGCCTATGCATGAAAATAAGTATTTCGCTTTTTCAAAGTTAAAATGGTGGCATTTTTTATGTGATGGGAAAGATTTAGGTGGAATAAATGTAGAAAAACAAAATTTAGATGTTAGATGTATAAATATATATGAATTGGGTGGTATATATGTAAATGTCCCTAAGAAGAATCGGATCGCTCTGGCATGAAAATAATTTCAATCAACTATGAAATGTGCACTCAAAATCCAGAGAGCCGTAAAGTTCAGCCGGGTAGCATGGAATTGCAAAAGTTATGAAGTTAATTAGGCGATACGAATTGATGATGTACCTGATGATCAACACGAGAAATATCAAACGAAACATTCATTCTTTGCTTTAAGTACTGCAATCTTTCTTCCTGAAAGGTTGATAAGTAAAATAATGAAAAATGAAGCTTTACAAAATGATATATTTTATGCCGACAAAAAGTTTACATTACAAATCAAAAATTGAAATTTCTCAATTTGTGCATTCCTCTCCCTAAATAAATAAAATTAAGATAAGTTTTTTAAACAATACTTCTCATGCATGATTACTCTTTTAATCTTTAATTTCATGACAACAAGCTTTGCTAATCAAAACACAATAATTCGTATGAAAGTAATTGAAGTTATGAAATAAATTATATAAAGTCCAAAATAAGAAGAAAATTTGTGCTTTATCCGGAAGTGAAGGCATTTACTTTTTGAATAAAAAGTGAAGATTAGAACATGAAAACCCTCATAAAGAAAATAAGCATATGAGATGGGTACCTGTAGAGGACTAAAGGGCAACAAAATCTGTTTATCATACTTTCTACTTTGATTTGTCGACTGAGGACATAGTAGCCTTCCTAGAAGTGAACCAGAGGTAACAACAATACTTGCTGGAAATAGAAATTTTAATTAATTCCAGTGATGCCCAAGTTCTTTGCAAAGCAAAAGAAACTTTTATAAAGACAAAAAGAGAAAGGAGAAACTTTGAATTTAACAAGTGTTTTTCCTTTTCTTACTGAATTATCACACCCACGGTGGACAACCCAAAGTTCCCAGATCTAGTAGGAATCTTACAAATTGGTAGGTCAGTTTTAAGTGCATACGCTGATCTAAATTTTTGCTAGCCATGTTTTCTATATTTTATTATCTCAACCAAACCACAATAGAAGGTTTCACACAAAGTTCATTATGTGATTTTCGTATTTTTCATGTGATCTTCAAAGATAAATAAAGACTTCAAGAGCATTCTCAGGGTGTCATGTATGTAATTGCCTAAAATGGCAAATATGGGATGGGGTCTTGCTGTGCTATGTGGTGTGGTGTGGTGTGGTGTGGTGTGCTTGCCTCAAATGAAAAATATGGGATGGGATTTTATCAATTCCTTTGATGTTTGAGTGAGAATTTGAAAATAGGATGAAAGATGGTGCTTAATTTGCAGATTGCTATGTTTCGGGTGTCATGTATATAATTGCCTAAAATGACAAATATGGGATGAGGTCTTGCTATGCTGTGGGTTGTCGTGTGGTGTGTTGTGCTTGCCTAAAATGAAAAATATGGGATGGAATTTTATCAGTTCCATTGATGTTTGAATAAGAATTTGAAAACAAGATGAAAGGGGGTGCTTAATTTGCAGATAGCAATGTTTGGGGTGCCATGTACGTAATTGCCTAAAATGGCAAATATGATACAGTGAGTTGTGATATTGTGCGTTTGTTTGTGGTGTGTTGTGCTTGCCTCAAATGAAAAATATGGGATAGTGTTTTATCAGTTCCTTTGATGTTTGAGTGAAGATTTGAAAACTGGATGAAAGGGGGTGCTTAATTTACAGATAGCAATGTTTCGAGTGCCATATATGTAATTGCCTAAAATGACAAATATGGGATGAAGAGTTGATGTGGGTCTTGTTGTTCTGTGGGTTGTGTTGTGAGGTTGTCTGTGTGTGTTGTGGGTCTTGTTGTAATGTGGGTTGTGACGTTGTGTGGTTTGTCTGTGTGTTGTGGGTTGTGGTGTGGTGTGGTTGTCTGCGTGTGTTATGGGTTGTGGTTGGGTGCTATGGGTTGTGGGTTGTGATGTGGTTTGGTTATCTGTGTGTGTTGTGGGTTGCGGTTGGGTGTTGTGGTTGTGGGTTGTGGGTTGTGATTGTATGTTTGTGTGTTGTGGGTCTTGTTGTCCCGTGGGTTGGGGTGTGGTGTGGTTGTCTGTGTGTGTTGTAGGTTGTAGTTGGGTGTTGTGTGTTGTGGGTGTGGTTGTAATTGTGTTCGTGTGTTGTGGGTCTTGCTATCCTGTGAGTTGTGGTGTGATGTGGTTGGGTGGGTTGTACTATGGGTTGTGGTGTGGTGGCTCTGACTGTGTTGTGTTACAGTGTGGTTGCTATAGGATGTGTGTGGAGGTATTGTGTTTTGAACTGTTGTGGCGTAGTTGTTGTCAAATATTAATATTTTACTTTTTTATGCTAGTAGCAAAATGGTTAAGACAAAAGAAGTAGGTTCATCATCCATGTTGTATAGGGAAGCGAAACTCAAATTTTGCGACCTCTGTCTTAAGAAGGTTAAGCTGGGAAATAGATCCACCATCTATTTTAACGAGAAAAAGTAGCAAAATATTATAAAGAAGTTCAAGGAATGACATGAAAGAAGTACGATAGGTTGCAATTTAAGAACAAGTGGGACTAGTTGAAAGACTAGAAATTTTGAAAGGAATTAAAACGAGGATCCACGGACTTGAGTTGGGATCCAATCAAACGGACAATTGATGCTTCAGATGAATGGTGGGGGTTAAAAAATTGGAGGTAACAATTTTCATTACTTTATTTCATTACATGAAAGACTTTATTTTAATTATATTTGAACTGTTTAAGTAATCAACTTGCCCGTATATTGCAGGTAGTGTCAGCCACCAAGAAATATAAATTCAGTGGAATACCCTGATCTGGAAGAGGAGTTGGATTGTATGTTCAGTGGGGTTGTGGCAACGGGCACTCATGCCTTGACCCCAAGTGAGCATGGGTTTACAAGCATAACAGAGGACTTAGAGGCCAAGCAGGAAACTGGCTCTGATGAAGGCCCAAGCCCAAACCAAAATGAACTGGAAAAAAGGAGTTGCTTTCATTATAAGTCAAAAAACAAAACTGGTGGATGCGTGCATGAGTGAGGCTGGGACTCCACATGACACCTCCGTAGATGACTTTCTCCAAGTTCTGGAGGCAAACCCCGAAGTTTATGGGGACATGTTATATTTGAACTCCTTGAAGTTGTTGGAGGACCTGACCTGTAAACAAATCTTCATCGTGGGGTTGTTCAGTCTAGTCGGGTGAAATAATCTTATGCTAAACTAAGAAAAATACTCTTCTATAACTTTCATATTATGTCTAATTTGACACTGATGCATTTAGGAATTTTGACATATTGTAGATGAATACTTGCAATTAATGTATGAATACAAGTTGACTTTTATTGCTACACATGATTTTATTCTATTTTATAATCCAGATAATTATATATGACATTAATTACTTGCAAGTATTCATTCTGTTACGATTCATACTTATGAAACATGAAATACCTGATTGCAGAAATTATGCTTTATGAAATGTCATACAAATGTTGTTATAGAAATGTCACAATGAATGTTAAGGGATAAATTATTACATGAGTACTTGCAAGTACATTATGCAATGATGTATTTCCGACTTCTGATGTTTATATGGGGACGAAAGTCTGAAAACTGTTCGAAATAGGCGGTGACAGAATGTAAGGGAATTGTGGATATCAGAGGGTTGTCGATAACTGCTATGTTAAAGGAAGCTCAACCTTTATCATTAGTTTATATAGTCTTTTGGGCAGAGTGACGACCCATGATGAAAAAATATAAAAATAGTTGAAATCTATATGTTAAAGTGACATTTATATAATATGACTTCTATGAAATTAATGAACATGCTTATACTTATGATTTCATACTTACGACCTGCAAATTACACTATAGTTGATTTTTTATACCTGCACCTGCTCTTTTCTCATGTTTTTTATTATGTCAGCATTTTATGATTGTATGTAGATATACAGTTTTATACGAGCATGCACGTTTCTTTTTCATCCATAAAATCTTATGTTAATCCTGATTAGTTTTCTAAGCTCGTTGCTCATTCTTTATTTTTGCCTTCCAAAAAGGGGCAACGAGCACCGGGGCGAGTAGCCAAGTGCGTCTTTGTACAGATTTTGCACGTTAGTTATGGAAGCTTTTTACATAAGTTTTGAATAAGTATTTTTATTGCTTGGGATTTAGTAGCTCTGTATAGTTTTAATGTTTAGGATGAATTAATTTTGATGCATTCGAATATGTAATTGAAATGCAATGTATCACAACATATGTTGTGGCGATCCATTTAGACTAAGGGTCTGTTTGGGGCAGCTGCAGCTTATTGAATAATTTATTGATAAACTACTTAAAAATAATCTGTTGATAACTGATAAGCTAGGTGCGGTGGTTAGAAATTTTTATTTTTTTGGAAAAACCAGACCGCTGCCAGAAAGCTACCACCGCACTTAGATAGGTGAGGTGTGAAAGCGCTGCTTTCAGCGTTTTCAAAACGCATAAGCTGTCAAAACGCAGTTTACCCAAACAGTCCAGATGCATTTTCAAAACGCCGCCGCACCAAATCAGCTGCCCCAAACGAACTCTAATTTATCACCCATTGGGTCATAATAATAAAAGTCAAGACAAGTGTTTGTGAGAGTTGGTCTAACCAAATTATCAGTCTCTGTCGCACCTTATCTGAACCCTAAAAAGGGGGGGCAAGTTGATGTATCAAAATTTTTTTTAATGGAGGTTATCCTGTGTCTAATGTCAGCTTTCTAAACTCATGACTCCTTTGAACATCCAAAACCAATGTTGTTGATGCTCCTCTCAACCTGCAAAACACTAGCTCAAGGCACCATAATCTCGTACTGTCGGAATGCCAATTATATCATTCACTACCTTCTAAAACGTTATTATTTCATCAACTGGAATTTCTATCTTGAGGTAAACTGGAATCGATGACGTCTCTTCCACGTTGGCTGAAAATTGAGAATTCTCTGAAGTTTGCATCTTCTTTCGGGACACCATTTATCTCTCAACTAGAAGCTGATCCTCTTGCTTTGTGTCCTCACTGTCTTCAGTGTCTAATGTCATTACCTAATTTTTCAAGAATTTCCAGCTTTGCGAAACAAATCACACCCCTGATTATGCAATCTGATTCAACGTGCCTAAATTCGCAGCACATGCAACACTTCATAGCTGGGACAGATGCAGATTGGTTCTGCATGTTCTCCATTCTGACCCATTTTTTCCCCTGACGGACTCCTGTATGTAATCTAATTGCACGACCTTGAGGTTGAGCAATGTCTGTAAGACGTGGTAGTCTTCCTGTGAAGTGGTTGTTTTGAAGCTCGAGTTTGAATCTTCTATCTATAATAAGCTAGTAGGAACTGACATTGGATCTCACACTTCACCTTCATATTGTCCCATTCACCGTATGATGGCTCTTCTTTCGGCCTCCTTTGATACTGGATTCCAAAGCGTCGTGGCTAATCCTTCTGCATCAGTAAAGTCCTCCCTATGTAAGGGATGCAAATCCTCATCTCTTGGTCCCCTTCGATTCTTCAGTTCACCATCAAAGGGTAATCTCCCCCCGGGTTTCATCCTCAATATCTACAAGCCTCTACTGAATTCGACAGATCTCTCAGTGTATCTCCTCCTGGGTAGGTTCGGATTTGTATCTCCTTGGTGGCATGACCAGGCTTAGGGTTGAGAAATGAAAAAGGGTGTAGTATACTCATTGAAGGTGTAGGAAAATTAATTTGGGGTTTCTTATTTTAAAAATGAGCAAGGGAAAATAAGGGTTAGTCAA